TGGACAACCTCCCTGCCAAATCTGAGGTTACTAAGCCATAGCATTGCTAAGTTATGTATTCTACATGCTTCAAATGTGAAAATGTCAAAATCAATACACTGAGGACAGGCATTCTTAAGCAATTGAGGGGAAAGCTTTAAGTCAAGGTCCCTGTGACCTTGACCTTTGACCCAGTGACCTCAAAATCAATAGGGGTCACCTTATGGTCATGATCAACCTCCATGCCAAATATGAAGACTGTGGGTCAAAGGAATCTTAAGTTATTGGGCAGACAAACTTTATGAAGTCAAAGTCCATGTGACCTTGACCTTTGACCCAGTGACCTTAAAATCAATAGGGGTCACCTACTTATCATGACCAACCTCCATGCCAAATATGAAGACTGTTGGTAAAAGGAATCTTAAATAATTGAGCGGACAAGCTTTTTTTACTCAAAGCCCCCTGTGACCTTGACCTTTGACCCAGTGTCTTCAAAATCAATAGGGGTGATCTATTAATCATAAGTAAACTCTATGCAAAAAATTTGAATATTGTGGGTCAAAGGAATCTTAAGTTATTGGGCGAACAAGGAAAAACCGACGGAAGGCCAGACGTCCGGACGGACAAGCTGATTCCAGTATACCCCCCTTACAACTTCGTTGTGCGGGGGTATAAAAATAGAAAGATGTTGTGTATTAATATGACTTTAAATCATTTTTAAATAACAAAGTCATAGTCAGTTACAGCAAAAAAATGAAAATTTCAATAATTTGATCTTCAAGATCAATGTCATTTATAAAGTAAAGGTCTAGGTCTGTCTAGATAACTTGAAGGTTTATCCAAGTTTGAAGACAATCCATTCAAAAGTCACTAATAGCAAAAAGCAAGCATAATTTAGACATTTGAACTTGAAAGTCAAGGTCATTATGAATGAAGGTCAAGGTACGTAATCCGGTCTACTGAAAGGTCTTGTCCCAATGGTTGTTGTGGCCAAGTAGGAAGACAAAACACCAAGAACTTAAAATGTTATGATCAAGGTACAAGTTTACTGACAACAACGTCAACGGCATTGGCAACAATGACAAGACTGTAACAATACCTCTATTTTTTTTTTCAATAAAAAGTCGAGCTAAAATTGACATACATGGCACTGTTTATGAGTTCTTCTTGATCAGGTACTTCTCTCTGTACTAGAATTCCTCTGTTCATCTTGGCAGGATCCAACGCCCAGTTTGATATACCAATAAATGCCACCTGTTATATAACAAAAGAGACTGTCAACTAACTTACGTATAATGAAATACTTTCATAATAAGTTTGTAAAATGAGTCACTGGTATAAAGATTAAATAATGGTAAGACCATCAATGAAGAAAAATCTTAACAATCTATTGTTTTCAAAAAATTTACACTTGGTTTTTATTATTAACCACATAAAAACATGAGGCACAGTAAAGCAAAGATTCCAAATTGCCTCAATAGTTCTGTAAGTTGTTACTCTAAAAATATTAAACATACACCTTAAACTTACTAAAATACATACACAGCCAACAGGAAGTTACGAGGATTGATCAAGTTCTTGGCCTGATGTACTTTCGGTAAAGCACAGCTGGGCACAGTGCATTGATGTAGAGGATGATTATATTGAAAAGTAAGAGCATTAGTTGGGTTCTCTGACTATCAGAAGTACATCAGGCCAAGAACTTTTAAATCCTCGTAACTTCCTGTTGGCTGTGTATGTATTTTAGTAAGTTTAAGGTGTATGTTTAATATTTTTAGAGTTACAGAACTATTGAGGCAATTTGGAATCTTTGCTTTACTGTGCCTCATGTTTTTATGTGGTTGATAATAAAATGGCTAGAAGTATATTGGGCCGAGAACTTTTTGATCATACCTCATATGTAACTCACTGTTTTAATATATTTTACAAACTGAATCACAGACCAAATAAAATTAATGTTATAATACATAAGGCATAATGGCATAATGACATAAGGCAGTATTCAAACCTTTTTATATTTTTCTGGTTTTTCATCACCTTGGCAACCATCTTCTAAAAGAGGATGAAGGGTCTGAAAAGAAAGTGTACACATTCTAAAAGCTGAAACCTAAGCAAAAGTAAAGTGATTTAAATAAGATAAAAGTTTATGTACAAATATTTGTACAATGTATATAAGACAATACCAACTTACCCGGTATATCAAAATTTGTGTCTTGACCTGGGTTTCTTTTATAGACAAGGATTAAATTATACAAATGTAAAACAAATTAGTATCTAACACATTGTCATACAGTTTTCATTGGAGCATAAATTTACTTCATATTAACAAATAACTATGTAACTATGTACAGTATTAATGTATGTAATTAGACCTTTACAAGAATAGTGCACTTTGCAATGAAGCCAAGCCAAATCTTATACTGAATATTACCTTCAGTGGCATTCTTGGACTGTCTTCAGCCAATCCTACTTCATCAAGGACAACAATAGAGACAAATGTATCCAAATCTTTGTCTTTCTGGAACTGTGCACATTGTCTAAATGTACCAACTATACCATCTGGTGTGGCCAGGGGACTACACTGGAATGACACCATCTGGGCCTGAAAAATAAAATTACTTAGAATAACACATCAAACACTAAGATAAAGAGGAGAGGGTAAACATACCTTCATTTTAACTCTTATTACCTACATTAAAATTTTACGTTTGAGAATTCATTCCATACTTTTTCTGATTATGAAATAGACCTACAGTGTACAAGTTTTCCTTATCAAAAATTTTTCTCAATCAGCAGAGGTCTACTGACAGAGTTTAGATATTAGTGGAAGAAAATCTACAAAGAAATTAATTACCTGTTTCAATTCTCTAAAAAGCTCTTTTCTTGCAGCATTTCCCTGCATAGCATCAGATACAATGGTTTTGGAGAGGGATTTAGAACTTCCAGGTTTACCAACAAGGAACAATGGGATACGTAGTTCTATACATACAACCATCATGAAAACATTCTCTCTCAGTGCCATGTTACGTGCTATATTCTTCTCCAGATGAACATGGTCTAAGAAAACTTCTTGACACCTAGAAACAAACAATAAGGTATCAAAGTTATCTCAAATTGTATAGTTTAGGGAATATACTTGGATTCACACACAATGTTATTATTAAGCCATACCTGAAGTGAAGCCCCTCAGCATGTCAAAAATAATTGCATAAGCTGTTTACCAATACAAATATATCAGATATTGTACAGATAAGCTGTTTACAAATATAGATATATCAGATATTGTACAGATAAGCTGTTTACCAATACAAATATACATGTATATTAGATATTGCACAGATAAGCTGTGTACCAGTACAAATATATATAAGATATTGTACAGATAAGAGGTTTAACAGCACAAATATATCAGATATTGTACATATGAGCTGTTTACAATACAAATACATATGTATATCATATATTGTACAGATAAGCTGTTTACCAGTACAAATATATCAGATATTGTACAAATAAGCTGTTTACCAGTACACATATATCATATATTGTACAGATAAGCTGTTTACCAGCACAAATATATCATATATTATACAGATAAGCTATTTACCTGTACAAATATATCAGTTTACCAGTACAAATATATCATATATTGTACAGATAAGCTGTTTACCAGTACAAATATATCATATATGGTACATATAAGCTGTTTACCAATACAAATATATCATATATTGTACAGGTAAGCTGATAACTAGTACAAATATATCATATATTGTACAGATAAGCCGTTTACCAGTACAAATATATCAGATATTGTACAGATCAATGATACAAATATCAGATATACAGATCAATGATACAATTACATCAGACATTGTACATATTCATGATACAATTATCAGTCTATGTGAAAGTCATTTTTTTTTTCAGGCCACAAGGACTGAGACCCTTAGGTTTATTTCCGGCCCGGATGATATTTTTCCGGCCCAGACATTTCAAGCATTATTTTATAAAAACTCGGTTGAATGTAAAAATGATTGTCTTTCTTTAAATTAGTGTGACCATCAATATAGAAACATAAGATGCTGACCAATTGAAATAACTAAAGCAGTGTTCTCACTAGGATTTTCAAAGTAGGAGTCCTTGGACTCCCAAGCACAGAAAAGTAGGAGCACAGAGCACGTTGAATATGTTAAGCCATCTTTGCTGCACTTATGCAGTTGACAAATATGATGTATATTAGCAGAGTAAGCTAGGGGTTGGAGAGTTGGAGTTTGAACAGAGAAAAAGCTTATTCAGGAAAATGGTAGTATGTCCCAAATGGAAAACACTGTACCATAAAATTGATTGAAAAGATTTGAAATATAATTTCAAAATCCCTACGTCATCAGACCATTATGCTGTTTCCTTCCAGAATCACTCCACACAACCCCCTCCCATAAGAAAATATTCATTGTATGTGACAAACACATACTGGTAAATACTTCCATCTCAACTAAATTGAACAATATCTTTAGTAATATTAATTCTTAAACTACATTTAAGTGTTATTACACACATTTTAACAAAACAAAGTTTCCTTGTAGTAACGATTTTTTTAATTATAAAAGCGGCATCGGGAAAATATGTGACAATTGAAATTTTGTCCGTTTCCTGCAGAAACATTCACAATTCTACTTGTTGTTTGATTTTGATCATATTAGATTAAATATTTTTTGATTATTTTTTAAGATTGTTACTCATCAGCTATTTCAAAACAGGCATCATAAAACAAAATTTTCAAAATCTGTAATTTACGGCAAAAATTTACCGTTGTTGATGAAACTTTTTGAAGGACAGAGTTGACTGGTATTTATTTGACATGTTCAAAATAGAGATCTAAGGTTGGTCAATATCTTCTTTAATAAATTCTTTGCATCACCGGGAACTTGTTATCAATCAGGTTATTGATATTTTTAACTTTTTGAAATTTTATTCGGACACGAGGACTGACGGAAAGGAATTTTTCTCGGACCGCATGATTTTTATTCAGCCAGGACCGAGGACTGACGGACTTTCGCACAGACTGAATTATATCAGACATTGTACAGATTAATGATACAAATATATCAGATATTGTACAGATCAATGATACAATTTTATCAGATATTGTACAGATCAATAATACAAATACATGTACATCAGATTTTGTACATATCAATGATACAAATATATCAGATATTGTACTGAGCAATGATACAAATACATACATATCAGATATTGTACAGATCAATGTTTACCAGCACAAATATATCAGATATTGTACAGAACAATGTTAAATAACCTTAATATATAAACTATATTTAAATTATGTTCGGGAGACACATACTCATTCTTTTTTTCCCCTCTTTACATTTAGCTTTTGCAAGACACTTTCAAGGTTTAGTACCAACATCACTTCAGACACTGTTTTCTCCATCTTACCATTATATATTTAAAAGGTCATGTATATTCAACTATCCAATATAGGATATATTGGGATACTGCAGTGTCAAATATAGGAAGTGTCCAATTTATGAAATTAAATTGGATGGTCATGTAAAAGAACAGTATTCATGCAATATTATCTTACTCTACTCATTGATTTAAACATTAATGATTAACAAATAACTGATTGAGTAAGAAGTTTAATAATATATTATATTGCCAAAACTTAACAAGCTAATAAATGTTTTTAATCAACATACTTTTCAATCTCTTCCTGTATTTGATCCGCACCACCTGGAAGATGACAAGGTGCACGGAATCTTGGTGCAATGTGTGCACGATACTGCGGCCTAGTTTTCAGACAGGCATGATAGCATACACCAAGTGCTAGTATAAGAGAACGGGTAATATCATCAACTCTGTCGCCCTGTAAAACAATTAATTTATTGTAGGCCTTCAGAAAAGCCACAATAATATCTTAACAATACATTAGCAACCAAATAATACATTATATTAACATCCTAACAAATTTAATGTTATATTATCAGTAATGAATTTCTGTTATTTCATGTTATCTGAACAGAACAACTAAACAGGATGTACAGAACATGCTAATGATAGATGTATTTAAAATTCAAGTAAACATTCAAGTCTTTTTAACCTGCCTTTAATTCCTGTATCCATAACTTTAAGTCTTTGAATACTAATTATGGGCAATAAAAATTTTCAAGACAGCTCTTTACTAGGAGGATATTTCCACCACCTTATACATGTAACATAAGTCCGCTTCTGTGAGTCTCCATATCTTTTATATGGTAACCATAGTAACAGACTTATCATTCTTACCCCTCCATCATCTCTAATCATCTGTTCATTCTCCTCCTCCTCATCATCATCATCATCATCATCAGACGTGAATTCCTCCTCACCATATAGTTTCTCGTCCATTAGGTCATACAGAGTTCTCTGCTCTTGACTCTGTTGGTAAAACCAGCTCATTACAGTCAACACTCTGTCAACATCTCGAAGTGACACAAAACTACATTCATCCTGCAAGATAGTTGTAAATAACTCTAAAGTTAATTCTAATTGAAACACTAAGGACATTGTCTCCTAATGGCTGCTGTGCATAAACTTAAAATCAACCATAAGATGATATTCTTTTCTTTTGAGTGAAATATGGATTATATTTTCATGAAACATGATAAAATTCCTCATATTTTCACCAGCCAGAAAATGTTATCTACTACACTAACAATGACTTGACTGAAGAAAGAGAAAACATTTATGTTTCTTTTGGAGCAACAGTCAATTACCTGTACTTGAATTAAAATAGAGATATTTATCAAAAGTTATTCTCAAATCATTTTACCTTTTGTTCCCTCATGTAGTCTTGTGAGGAAGTTAGGATTGCACTGACAACTTCTATCAGACCTCCAATACTAGGTAGTTTGCCTTCACGTATCTACAATAAAGATATATTCCCATTCATTTTCTTACTCAAATACTTTGATTTCTTCCTTTTCCCATAAACTGCTGGATATCTTAAAAGGAACTGTTAAATTAAATTTCTAGAACTGTCCATTATCAAGTATACATATGAGGACATTAAAATATAAAATTCTGAAGTTGGTTAGATAATAATAAAGAACCTGGTCAGACTGCACTGATGTACAAGCTGGCCTGGCTCTATACAGGTTACAAACGCTAATTACTTCATGTCTATCAGGGTAAAGGTTAAACAACTGCAAGCTTATCAAATATTCCAAGAAAAACTTATCAAATACCATTGTTATGTTGCTAGATTTAACTTAGAAATTGTAATGTGCAAATAAGTTATGGAAATTACCTGAAAACCAGCTTTCATACCAATAATGACTGAATCAAAAAGTCCAGTCAATAAAGTTCAGGGCACTTGATAAAGATAAGCTGAGAATATTTGGATAAAAATTCTTCAAGATATATGGTATTAACCTCCAGACACCTTGAAGTTTGCTGATATCCACCAACCTAGTAACAAGATTTTCTGTTGGAAAACCTCGTTAAAAGTTCTATAAAAATGATACAAGAGGGCCCTGGATCGCTCACCAGAGAAATAGGTCAAAAGGTTTAAGTGGAGCCCCTTTGACCGCAGAAGAAATAATAAGTGAAAATCAAAACATTGCGAAAAAATACAGGATTTACAGAACATATAAGGAAAATCATTCAATGACCCCTGGAGCCCGCCAATTTTGACCCTAGGGCTTTCATTTGAACAACATGGTAGACATCAACTAGAAGATGTTTTATGCAAAATATCTAAGCTCTAGCTCTTTTGGATTTTCACAAGAAGAGTCTTTAGTTTTAACTATATATATATATATATATAAGGAAAATCAATGACCCCCTGGGGCGGGGCTAATTTTGACCCTAGGGCTTTTATTTGAACAAACTTTGTAGACACCCATTTGAAGATGTTTCATGCTTAATATCTAAGCTCTTGCTCTTTGGGTTTTTTTAAAGAAGCTTTTTGAAGTTTTTATTATAGACATGTAAGGAAAATCAGACCCCTGGGGCTAATTTAACCCTGGGGCTTTTATTTGAATTAATTTGGTAGACACTCACTAGAAGATGTTTCATATTTAATATCTAAGCTCTAGCTCTATGGGTTATTTAAAAGAAGATTTTTAAAGTTTTTACAATAGACATATAAGGAAAACCAGTACCCCCGGGGCGGGGCCAATTTTTACCCCAGGGCTTTTATTTGTACAAACTTTGTAGAAATTCACCAGAAGATGTTTCATGCTTAATATCTAAGCTCTTGAAAGCTCTTTGAGTTTGTCAAAAGAAGTTGGTTTTTTTTGGTTGCCATGGCAACCAGAGTACTGCATGGAAATAAATTCTTTGAATAATTTTTAAAGATGATCACCAAAAGAACATTCCTGTGAAGTTTGAATGAAATTGGCTCAGCGGTTTATGTGGAGATGTTGTTTAAAGTAAAAGTTTATGGACGTCGGACGAAAAGCGATCACAAAAGCTCACCATGTCACTTTGTGACAGGTGAGCTAAAAAGTAATTGTTAAGTAATCAAACATCAACTTACATATCTTCTGACCATCTGCCTGATATATAGATCTTCCACTTGTGTGTTCAGCTGACCAAAGTCCCATACTAGAGGCAGTAAACTTTGTGGTAGAGGCTGGACCCTGTACACAAGACGTCTCATTGGTACCCGCCCCAGTCTGTCTGTTGTTTCATCAGCATCTACATGGTAACCAAGTCCTGCCTGCTCTAACTTTTTTATTAGCTCTTCTGAATGTCTAAAAGCAAAATAAAATGGGACAAAATTATGTCATATGTACTAAAATTCATAGTTATCTTATATCCATATTAAGGTACATGTACTTTGACATTACCGAGTTATATTATCCACATTTTCATCAATTAAAATTAATAGCAACTGATGAACATCATGAAATATTTCAATTCATATTTTAACAGTAAAAATATCTATATTATTTTGTCTGCAAAGTTACATATATACATATATTTTAAAGTTACTTTGAGCAAAAAATAAAAGAGAAGAATGCCAACTTTAAAATAAATATCTTACGTTCTATATGGGTTACAAGCTGCCACCATTTTCAGGTTTTCACATAATTTCAGTTTTTTTCCTTCCATACTTTTGTCACACATTATTTCTTTAATAAGTCCAATAGCTTCAGTTGTGTTTGCTTCATCAAAGAATAAAACAGTGTACACATGGTTCCCATAGTTTTCTTTGTTCCTCTTGGCTATTTGTTCAGCATCTCTCACTTTCTTAATGATATCTTTGTTTGTTGTGCCACCATGAACCTTTAAAATGATTACAGATGTAAATTGTCTTGATTACAATGAAAAGATATACATGTAAATGTATTTGAATTTACAATTCTTCTAATAGAAGTTTATGAAGTAGATGTCTAGAACTTTGATAGTCACCATTGCCTTGTCAATTAAATGTTTTCATACATTAAATTTTTATTTTTTTTAACTAACACTGTAAAGTTCAAAGGGCAATGGTGAAGGGAGACATCCGGGGCTCTTCTATGTATTCTTTAAAGTAACAGCTGACAAGAATACACTTAGAGGCACTTATAACCCTACACTGACATTTTTCTGTATTAATAGGTTATTTGTGAACGGATTTTGTTCAAATTTGGACTTTGCAAAATTCAACATATCATACTTACTACTTGGAATTATATTTACAATTCATTGATAAGAAAATAGAAAAAATAGCAAAACAAATAGGCTACTGTAAAATGAAAAATCACAGAATGACTGTAAAAATCGTAACATAATGAACAGTCTCTGAATCCCATTAAATCTGTATGTTTACCAGTTCTAACACTTTGTATGTCCTCCCAATTGGCTATAACAAAGTAAACACCTCTGCCTCAAAGTTCTCACTTCCTAAAAAAGGGCTTGCTCGTGTTCCAGCAAATTGCGAGGAGCTTTTGGCCGCTTTTTCACACGCCTGTTTAATTTAGCCGACAAGTGTGATTTTTAGATCTGGTGACTTGGAATGCAGGAGTTGCTGGAACTTGAGGAAGCCCTTATTCAAGAATGGAGAAATATTCCCCAAGCCTTCACTAAGTCATAACCATGAGACAGGTGTTAACACTTTATTATAGCCATGGGATGACACAGAAAGAATTAGAACTGAATCAGTTGGATTTAGAGACTTTTCATTGTGTTACGATATTTACAGTCATTTTGTGATTTTTCATTTTGCAGTTACATATTTGTTTTGTTATTTTCTCTATTTTCTTGTTAATGAATTAAAAATAAAATTTTAGGAAATAAGTATATGTTGAATTTTGTATATTTCAACAAAATCCGTTCACAAATAACCAAGTTATACGGAAAAATGTGAGTGTTGGGTTATAAGTGCCTCTGAGTGTAACCATCATCTTTCCTTATGCTAGCTGGATAGCTTTGTAATATGAAAGGGCTCGAAGAGGCAAGTGATTTAAGTAAATAACCTCATCCACTGGCCTAAATTT